CACACCAGGAAGCGGTAATTTTTTTGTAATGTCATTCTAACTGTCCAGATTCTTGGTGCTGTTGACATGCAGAATCTGAAAAAAAAATGGGGAACTAACTTCGAGGCCTCTTTCTAATTTGCCGTCACCTGTGTTAGAAGCTCTGCAACGAATTCATGAGCACTTTTATGAGGATTGCAAAACATGCACACCATGATTGTCGCTTTTTGAAGAAGCTGTGTGTTTTCAGTTTTTCTCATGTTTCTCAAAGAAGTAAATTTACAACAGTTCAATTTTGAGGCCTCAATATCTCTGCAGTTAGGGCAGGTACAATAATAATTCTTTTTGCAATGGAAACCTGTATATGTGTTGGGTGCAAGTATGGGAGCAGAATTTAGAGAACAAGCCTTTTTAATTAATCACTCATAAAAATTTTAACACGATTTCAACTGCTTTTGAAGATGGATAGTTCATTTTGCTGAAAAATAATTAAGAAAGGCTTAAAAACAAAAAACTCTTGCATTATTTCAATCAATAGTCATTAGTCTATGCTGGGATATTTTAAATATCACTTTTAATTAAGCACTTTTTTATATGACAGCCTTAAACAATAGGTGATGAACTTAAGTTATCTCAGGAATAAAACGAGTCACAGAAAAACTAATTAAACATTTGAAATCAGCAGAAAAAACTGCATAATTCTGTGCAGTTTGACGAAGATCACTGAAGAAATAAACAAAAAACGTCTAAGAGCAGTCTGCCCCCTTAAAAGAAAATATTATACTTAAATCAATCCATTGTATTAGGTTTAAAAGCTAGTTATGACGGCTTATATGCTCCAAGTATAATAAATTTTGAAATGTTACGTATTTTAAGGGTTATGACTTCCATCCTGTTGAAAGTCAAATCCTGCTACTACACAAAGTTCTTTCGACGTACTTTGAATGAAAAAAAACAAGGCATTCGCATAGAGGCCCTATCTCAATTTTTAAAAATATTGCGCAGGTCAGTTAGGTCATGATAAATATGCCCATGTTTCTTTATTATAATATATACTATTCGATATTATTCGACCAAAATCACTGTTTGCTTCGAATTCGCTTTGAACCTAAAATTTACTATTTGCACAAGCCTAGCAGGCTTGCTTAGTTTTTCATGCTAATTTTAAATATGCAACCTTTTTTTTTTTTTTGCGCATCAACTGGTTCATGAGACACACGAAGCTACTTCCCTATTGTTTGCAAAGAAAATAGGAAAAAAAAAGTTCAGCAGAAAGTGAATATTATCAGATTAGTAGGCATTACAATATGCAATAAGGGCAATGCTCCAACCAGGGATGATTAAAATTCAATATTTATAGCACAGACTACCATTAAGAAAAAACAAATCAAAATTCAAATATCTATGAGCAGAAAATGAAAATTTTGCTCTGAGCACTTTGCTCTGAGCACAGCTTGGGTTTAATGTTTAGAAAAATAAAAAAAATAAAATGACAGCTCTAGCAGGTTTAGTTCGTGAGACGTCACTTTGACAGGTTAAACACAAAACCAAGGGCATTCAACACAAGCGGCAATGTCTTTTTCTATGTCAATTGAAGCAGGAAAAAAAAAAGGAGACCATGCTCGATACAAAAACCAGAGAAGTGCTGCCGCTATTGCTTTTTGGAAATTGCACAGAGAGCTGGACTGGATGACTCTACATGCTGGGGATGTGTAGGAGTTGTGTCTTATCATCAGGTGTGTCTGCTATTCAAAAGACGCTGACACAAACTTTTTTTTAGCCTATATGTTTTTTGTTCCAATGTGTTGCTGAGGGCACGCCTTTTGCTGCTGTGCGTGACACATAATTACAGGCCCCTCATTACCAGTTCAGTCTCAGCTTTGGCTTGAGAGAGCTTCAAAAACAAGCCACAGAGTGCACCTAGCGAGTGCAATGCTCCGTCACGTCAGCACTGTGAAGCTCTTTCTGCATCAAGAAGTCCTTTCAAGCAGGACAGCAGTCTCGCCTCACCAAACATAAAACTTTCGACGCGCAAACAGCCACTAAATACTGTATATTGCCGCATATAAGTAGACCTTTTTTTCTTTTTAAAATCTGAGCGCCTAGTTTACGGGGGTAGGCTTATACGCGGATTTTTACATGACAAGGGGGGGGGGGGGGTCAAAACAACAAACATAAGGCAACCAACTTTCACCCAAGTTATTATAATTATGTGCCCATTTTATATACATATTATAGCAAAAGCGATTACAATAATACATGTTACCCAATTTATAAGTACGGTACGAAGTACTCTGTGACGGTACAGTGGATCAAAGCGACGTATTCAGCCTCGAGAGATTCTCTTGCATGCACGATTTTCGGACGTTGGACGAAAAGCTTCGGCTTTGGATCAGTAAACAACCTGCATTGATTCTGCACAGGCTTAGCAAGCTCAGGCTCTCTCATTCTCGTCGACACAACCACATTGAAATTGCTCCTACTCATCGATGCAGTTACAGAGCCGCGTTCAAGCGAAAAGCCTTCCAACGGAGCTTGAATTCAGCGCCAACAAAGGGATAAACTTTTTGCATGCGCTGGATTGCCAAAATCGTTCCGGGGACCAAAGAAAGAAAAATACCTTGCCATCAAGGAAGCTGTCGACAAATGGGTTGGCGAACAGTGGGAGTAAGGCCCAATGTGTCTTAGAGGTTATTCAAGTGAAGGAAGGCTTGCAGTGGTGCGAATGGATTAGAAAACGCCTACAGTGAATTTAAAATTTCTGAGATATGGGCGACTAATTTCATGAATCGGCACAGGCTGAGCCTCAGGACTATTTGTCAAAAGATATGACAAAAAAAAAAAAGAAGCCTTCTTGAACTTCGTCAGTGAACAGAAGGCGGAACACCCTTATTTGCTTGGCTATATCAGCAACACTGATCAGACAGCTGTCTGGTTTGATATGCCAAGCAAAGGAACCCTGCCAGCCAAAGATGAGCCGCAAATGCGCCTGATGAAGACTGGCAATGAGCGCAACCGTTTCACAGTAATGCTGTGCTGTACTGCCAATGGCCGCAAGCTGCCACCTTCTATTGTTTTCAAGCAGAAGACGATGCCCAAGGAGAAATTCCCCCCTAAAGTCATCGCTTGCGTCAACCAGAAGGGCTTTTTCACGGAGGAGATTGTATTGAAATGGTTCCGCCTCATCTTGCTCTAGCGTCCAGGCGGTCTTCTCGGGTCTAAAAGCATACTTGTGCTGGACTCTTTCCGAGAGCAGATCGCGGAACGTGCGAAGAGGACCATAGCCGACGTGGATGGCCACTTGGCGATAATTCGGGGTAGCTTGACTCCTCTGTTACAGCTGTTCAAAGAGGCACTAAACAAGCCTTTTAAAGAGAGGGTGACAGCACTCCACAAAGACTGGATGAACCAGGAGGACAAGCCCCACGTGCCCACAGGGCATGTGAGGCGTGCTTTTTGAGCACTGTGGGTGTCCGACGCTTGGCATGAGCAGCCAGGCAGCATGGTGCGCGATCACAACTGCCACATATAGGTCTTAGTTTGCTGGCAACAATTTTTTGTTTTGTAAATGCGGTCAATTTCTTAAAATAATTTACTTGCAGATCTTTTTCAGATTTCGAGGTCACAAGTTGGAGGAGGGGGGAGGGGGTAATCTTATACTCGGAGTCGACTTATACGCGGCAATATATGGTAGTAGTCTGCTGAAGCAAGCACAGTAAAAGAGTAATGGCAACCATTGGCTGCGGCATGGTGTCGTGAGGAAAGTAGGGGGGTCACTTTTGAGGGTGTCTACACCTCCAAAAATTACATATTCATTTGCATAATTTGCACACCCCTAATATTTTGTCAGCTTTGCTAAAAAAATATTTACTCTCATAATTTGCACTCCCAGCTAGGCCGAGCCAGCTCGCCAGCACGCGAGCGAAAAGACAAGCGCAGTCAAATGGGCTGCGAGCACACAGTCCATTCTTTGGAAGACTTCCCTTCGAACTAAGGTCCCAAGAATCCGGTTCGCACAACACTCAAGAACACTCAAACCTACCCGTTAACGGGTTGCTGGAACTGCTGAAGCGTTTGCTTTCCTCTATCTCCCCATCTCTACCGCCGCGAGAATGCACGATCACATCACGGCACGGACAACTTTCTGCGACAGAGACGTGCGAGCTCTAGGGCCTGTCGCGCCAACTGTTCTTGTTCTCTGCGTCCGTGCTGCGACCCACGCTTGGTCTAATCCAGAAGTTTAGGTTACCCCATCTGGCCGACACGTTTTTATGGTTCCCTTGTAATGTGCTACAGTAATTATACATATGGCGAAATCGAAGCTCGCTGTAGTGAATTTTGCAAAGAAAACAGGAACAATGCTGCTGTAAGCACTTCAAGGTGACGTACTCCAACGTGTGATGATCGGCGGTACGTGAGAAAGCAGAAGAGCGCGCGCTTGCTAATGCAAGTTTCTTGCCACTGAAGAAGGCCTTTTCAATTATGAGCAAATGTTAAGTTATCCGGTATCGTTGTGTCATGGGACCTAGTTTCTCACACCATTGTTGCAAAGAGCTTCAAGAAAATTAAGCATTCAAACGCGCTCGCTAACCGAGGATGATGCACTTTGAGAAGGCGGTGGCAGCGGCTGCGACGATGACTCCGAATCGAACTTCGCGATCAATGATTGCCACTAGACTGCGCGTGACAGGATCTGACTGGTTAAAGTGAGTGCTGAATTTTCTAAATTAACAAGTACACTTCGTTTGCGCTTCAATTTTTTAAAATGTATATACTGCACATGCATTAGGACTATGACCCAATATTTCGTGCCCCCTCGTGAAATCCTTGCGTAATCTGCGCACCCCCGTTTCGGGGCCCCAAAATTGCAATAAGAATGCAGAAATTATGCAAGTAAATACTGTACTTCAAAATTCATGTAAATACATTCCAAGCTGTATTTGCTGTCGCACATAATATACACATGTTCATGAGAATCGATCCTGCAGGTCGTTAAATGATGGCTTGTCCGCCCAGCTCACATGTACACGGTGCCCTTGAGGCCGCCCTTGCTGGTCTGCATGACGCGACTCAGCAGACTCTGCCGCAGCTCGTCCGGGTCGACACCCATCAGTGCGGCTGCGACACGCAGCGACTGTTCCGACTCGCGGGTCACCTGGCTACCCCCGCGGCTGTCGTCGGGGCTCTCCTCAAAGGTGACGTTGCCCAGGTGCAACACGGCAGCCACTGCCACGTAGATGTTCAGCCGCTCCTCATCAGTGAGGCCTGCACGTGAAGAGAGCCTCAGAGGTGGAGCACTACACTCATACCATAGTGATTTGGTTGAAATCAATTTCGATTGCAGACATTATAATAGATAAGCACATTTGTAATGACAAAACTGAAACAGTCACGTGCAAATGTATTTTTTGTTGTTCAAAGGCAATGGAACCAACTTTGAATAGTTGCAAGATTCGACTTTTGCAGCGATTTCACTGAAATTTGAAGCAATTTTTGACGGAGCAAAATTTTCATTTTGGAGCACTTTGGAGCAGCCAAATTTTTCATTTGGGGAAATCTGGAGCAGATAACTTCATATCCTGGAGGAGAAGCAAGTTGCATTAACATTCAAGGACATGGAAAATTATTTTTAGGCTCTTGTGAGGAGTTAGAAATATTTAGATTCATTACAAATTTCATAGAGCCAATCATCTTAGCAGCACTCCCTATTTCAGTTGATGATGCAAGAATATGAGCATTCTGGAAAAACTTGCTCAGTGATTATTTCCATAGCAAATATACAGAATGCTGGTTGAATAAAATTGTACTTCATGAAATAACAATATAAATACACCTATGTGATTATCACCAGATAAGGTAGACAACCTCTGTGACGTACAACGCCAGAGACACACAGACCCAAGTGCCTTTCGCCAAGATGACTTCAAGAATAAAAATAGGCTATTTTTCTTTCTGACTGATTACACTGCCGGGCGTAATATGACGTCATTCAGCTAGTTTCAGAAAGCCGACCTCCTTCGGCACTAATCTCTGCGCTGAAATTACACAATTTAACAAAATTTTCCTTTTGCAGCAATTATTTATGTGGCTAGGGCGTTCTATCTATACTTCAAAAACTCCCTACCATGTCCTCTAGAAAGAAGCACGAACGAAAAAAATCTCAGAGTACTTTATGCATACGCCTAAGACAACTCGAAGGCAAGATCCATTTTCTTTTAATGTGATAGCAATTATATGGACATTCTCGACTGGCTTTTGCCCTAGCCAGAAGTGTAGCCAGAAATTTTTAAAAATTTGGGGGAAGGGTTTCATCTTGATCTGAGAGGGGGGGGGGGGGGGGCAGGGGACAGGCAAAGAGTCATTTTGCACTACATTTACCAATCTCCTTTGCACTGAGGGTTGATGCGATAACATCACCCGGTGTGCTAGGCCTCCCATCAATTGTTAGTTACTCAAGCAGAGAGGAACGCGCCGCAAGTGTCCAAGCAAGGTACTGGAAGGATCCAGAGCTAGGAACGCAAGGGGGGGGGGGGGGGAGAGGGGCGTTGTTATGAACTTTGAATTTAAAGGAACCCTGAATTCAAGTAACCATGAAATGAATTCACCAGAAGAGCTTACTGCCTCACGAATTCAATGCCGCGAAAATTTTACAAATCCCTCCAGTGTGAGTAGAATTACAATGATTCGTCCCATGCTGCAATTGCATTCTCTCTTCTCTGAAAGAATGCAAAGCGCTGTAAGCAGAGAGGGATGGCAGGGGCAAAAAAATGTCACGTGCGCCTCGTGACCATGGCTGCTTTTTTCTTTTTCTTTTCTTCGAATGTGCAGCTTTTTCAGTGTGATCGCACACACACACGTAGTCAAGTCGCGGCATTTTCCGGCAATCTCTGTAAACAACCGAGTGCACTATGTTCAATTCAGCCAAGGGCTGATAGGTGGGCTTTTCACGAGTAATTTTTGAGCGTCTTCCATGATATGCAGAGAGAAAAGAAAGCCCTGCCCAAAAAGTGTTGCAGGGCCTCTTTAAGGGTGTGATCGCTGGCGCACGCGGTATATTTATGGCTGGTATACCATTCTACCTTGTACTCTCAACGCAAACAGACTGCAAAAAGTGGTTCGTTTTCTAGGTATGCACTGAGCTTTCGTCGCAAGGCGGCCGCACCATCATTGCGCCGTTTCGGAGGTCCATTCATACGTGACATTTGTTCTGTACAGATGGAATCACACTGGTCTAGAGCAGCAGAGTGCGTGCCTGTCGACACTGTTGTTGGCCGCGGCTTCTATCTTCCGCTAGCTACAAGCTTCCGTTGATACTTACATTCCAGCAAAAGGGCCTAACACACAGTACAACCATGTTTGGTAGTATTACGGCCTCTCTCTTTACATACTTCTGAAGAAAACAGTGTGTGCGGAGGACCAGGCCTTGCGATGTTGCCTCATAAGCCATTCCTCTGCATGTTGCAGGTTCTACTGACACAGTTGGCCACTCTTCAGTCGGTCAAGATTTAGCCGGACGGGACTCAACTCGATGCATGCATGAATTTAGCAACACACGTGACACCGCATCGTCAATGCTCTTGGCTTCACGTTATCACCCCGCCATACAACGTGAATTCATCAGACGCCTTTATAAGGGCCATGCCGCATCGTTTTAACTTCAGTGCGTGTGGCGGACCAGGCCTCACGATGTTGCCTAATAAGCCGTTCCTCTTCATTATGCAGGTTAGTGTTTACTATAGCTCATTCAAAAGAGACTATCCTGGCCTCCTGGTTTTGCCATGCCCACACCAGTGTGTTCACATTTTATGCGACGCTTTTGTGCATGCAAACTTTCATTGTGCGGGGATATTGAAGTAAACCTTGGGCCGAACACTGTAGCCTTATTGACCCAACTGCTAGAAGGCCAGAATAAGTTGGCCACAGAGATAGCCACTTTAAGGGAAGAGCAGTCCAACATAAAAAAAAAATTATTTAAAAAATGATTTCAGACCTTAACTGATTTTGGAATGCATGCCGCTCGAGTAAATGGCCTAAAGCAGGCAGTCAAATCGCTTCAAGCGAAGGCAGCTGACCTGGAAGATAGGAGCGGGCACTCAAAATCTCGTTTTGTTTAACATTAAGAATGGCAGCATTAAAACTGAGACAACTCTTTGCGCTAAGACGATTGACAACCTTTTTTGGGATAAGCTAAACGTAAGATGCAGCTCTGTCGCAAGAATACACTGCATTGAAAAACTGGGTAAAATGAGGCCAGTAATTGTATCCTTTCAAAAGTACAACGAAAAGCAGGAAGTTCTTAAATATGCACAAATGTTTGTGGGGTCTCGAAATGGCGAACGTGCGCCACGCCACGCTCTTGGAGTGAACGGACACAGAAGACGCAGTCGGTACAATACAACAGCATACATTTATTCAACTAATTTACAACGACAATATCGTCCGCCGAATGATACATAAATCGTAATTAACACACTAGGACATCATTACACAATAACATGACAAACACACAACACGACAAACACAATAACACACCGAAGGCGGCGTCACGAACGCTTCACTCACCACGTGGGCTTACCGCAGGCGGCCCGCTGTGCCGTCCACGGCAGACCCACCGCGAGAGACAACCGTTCGCGGCAGCCACCACGCGCAGAAGAGACCCGCTCAACTCTCGCCCGCCGCCAAGGCCTGCCTTCCGCCAGGGGTCACCGCAAGCGCTACCACTCTACCAACAATAGTACTCAACGCGAACACAACGCCACCTATTGCCCGGCAGTCGTCACCCAAAATGCGGCCTCTGGGTGAGACACGTGCGCCACACGGCGCGAACAACCCCACAGGGGGTGTCAGCACCCCCACAAGGTAAAGGAAACAAAAACTTCCATTCAGAATGACTATTCGGTAGATACTCTAAGGAAACGCAAGCTTTTATGACAAAGTGGCAAACAAGAAAAACAACAGGGCAAGAAAGTGATTCTTCTGCATGATAAGCTGCGAATAGATAATGAACTATATGTATGGGATGAAGCCACAGATTCCAGGGTAGAACAAATTACATGACGAAAACTTCTTTCCAAGGATTGACGGATACCTTCCCGCCCTGAAGAACTCGGGAGAATTCGTTTAATTTTTAATGAATCCAGTGCCTTTGTTTACAGTTAACTGCATGTGCAGTAGTTTAGAACAGATGGCTAGACAACCTACTCGCGTTCAGGGTAGTTCCTCTTCTATATTAGATCTTGTTTGTGTTTTTCTGCCGATGCATGACTGACTTCTCTGCGAGAATTGAACCTGGTCTTTCAGCCCACTAAATGGTAAAGTGTGTATACCACTTTTTGACAAAGGAAAGTGCTCCTTCTAAAGCTCTCACAGTTAAAAATTACTTTCATGCAGCAGATGAAAGTCTTAGATTTCTTGACATAAACTTGAAGCAATTTTGGTGGGTCTGATGTTTCTGAGCTATGGGAGACATTTAAAAAGTTGTGTCTTTAGTGTATAGAAAACTTTGGGCCAAATAAAAAGAAAAGGATCTCGAAAAAATTTTGTGGATCACCCGTGACATTTTGCATAAAAAAAACTTAAGACCTCGTAGTGCATCCCAGAAAACTATTCGAACAAACCAGACACTCATAAACTAGTCTATTCGATGTGCTAAGCAATTTTATTTTCAACATACTCTACCAAACTTCATATGGGCAACTCCTGATAAATTCTGGTCGCAATTATCTCGCAAGGAAGAAGGTACTCTTCAAATAATTCACAATGATACAATCATTACAAATAAAACAAGCATAGCGAAGCATTTCAATGAGTAATTTCTAAGCGTTTTCCAAAAAGATTGCGATAGCGCACGCACTTATGCTACCTCTTCTTATCTTGATACAGACATGTCCCTATCTGGAGTTGTATCTATGCTTCTGAATTCAAAGACTAAAGCCTCGCCTGGTCTCAAAAACAATCACAATGCATTTCTGCGTCGATATGCCGCGATGGTTGCTAAATTCTTTGTGATCATCTTCTGCGCCTAGCTGTCTTGTTCTTGTCCCGATGGATTGGAAAACAGGGTGAACTGTCCCACTATTGAGATCTGGAGACAAATTATTGGATACAAATTAACGCCCCATATCTATCATTTGTTCTTGTAGGCTTTTGAAGCATGCCATAGCTAACTACATCACTAATTTTCTTAATGAAAACAACATATTAACGCCATTTCAACATGAGTTAAGAAAGCATTTGTCCACTGTCACTCAACTGGTCACAGTCAT